GCCGGCAGCGGGTGGGGCGGGGTGTTTGGGGCCAGGCTGTGCCCCCCTGCCCTGGCTGGGCAGCAGGACCTGCATGGGCTGGGTTTGCCTGGGATCCCATCGCCTTTGGGACTGCTTTACAGGAGGCGTTTTGTCCTGGTCTCAGCAGGCAGGGGGGGCAGGGCTGGCTCTCCATCCCTGTGAGAAGAGGCAGAGGGTGCCCCAGGAGCACTCATGGCCCCGGCAGGAGAGGCAGAGGGTGCCCCAGGAGCACTCATGGCCTCGGCAGGTCCCTGTGCCAAGGGCTCTGCCCCTCAAACCATCGCGCTCTTCTTCCTGGCAGCGCTCACTGGAGAATTAATTGACCTTGTAGCTTTGCCTGCCTTTGTCCTCTGCCTGGCTGGAGCTCGGTGCCAGCCTCAGACCATCCCAGGGTGGCCTCAGCCCCCGAGGCTGTGATCCCCCGGGTGGGGAATAGCTCAGCCCAAGCAGGGTTGAAAATCGTGACTCTGGGGCATTGTGTGAGCATTTGGGGAGGGCAGGGAGGGGGTTCCTGCAGCCGAGGTGGGCAGGCTCCTTCCTCCCCTTTCTTGTTCCTTCCCCTCACTCACCTTGGGCTGTAGCTCAGGCACAGCGCTGAACGTGGATGGTGCTCACAGAAGGGATTAATGTCTCCAGAGAAGGGGAAAAAACCCACAGAGCTTGCAGGAGAGATGAACCTGCTTCAGCAGACCACCAAAACTGCAGGCAAGCTCCTGAGCTGTTGACCTGCACATTCTGTCTCCCAGTATACTCCAGTTGCCCAGCTCTTGAGCGGGCTGTGCTGCAGGCAGGGGCTGTGGGGCACCTGAGCTGCTTCGGGTGCAGAAAATGAGTGAATCACAAAATTCACTGAGTGAAAATGAGTGAATCACAAAATTGGGCAGATGTTTCTTCAAATTTTTGTGAAGAAATAGTTGTTCTGAGCAATGGTCACATGCCCCATCGCTTCTCCTCTCCCCGCCCTGCAGACATCACAGCAAGGAGAGGTGCTTTGCGTGCCAACTGCGTGGTGTTCAAGAGGGAATTACTCACTGCTGGGGTTAGAGTCCAGGATGGGCTCCTGTCTGTGAGAACGGCGCGGCAAAACCTTCCGGTGGGAATGTAGAAGGCATTTAAAAGGTGCCTTTTGCCCTGACTTTGAAGTCTGTTCTTCTATTCAGGGCTGTCTCAGTGAGGTTTAAAACATCTGAGCAACACAGCAAGTGTAATAAAGTTTTCTTTGGGGTCTGTTCGGGAGGTTTTCCTGGTTCCTAATGATGGAAAGGCCTGGCAGGCATCGCCTCAGAGTGTTTTCTGGCTGCACTCCAAGTACGTATCCACTGGATCTGTGTTTACTGATGCGTTTTCTGGGGCAGCAAGGCAATGTCTGTTTGGAGGAAGCTTTTTTGCAGTCAGAGGGAGCTTTTTTGCAGTCTCAGAGAGCACACAGCCCCTCATGATTCAGTTCCATGGATTTTAGCATCCTGGAAATCAATTATGTAAACCACAAGCCATCAGCTGAGTCAGGGCTGTTGGCTCCATGTCTTGGATTAGTCCAGGGACCAGATATTTGCCTGATTCACTTTTCTTCTATTGCCAGCCTGTGGCTTGCTTGGTCACCAGCAAACATGAGCTGGTTGCAGATGCCCTGCAATAGCAACAGCGTTTCCAGTGGACGTGCCTGTGGGATCTGTGGGGGCTTGTTGTTGGCATCCCTGGCCAAACCTCCTCCCTGCAGAATGGGGGCACACTTGCCATGACCCCCCCCTACAGCTGCCCCCCGTGGAGAGCTGTGGAGGGGGACAAGCAGGTTTCTGCATCACCCAGCCAGGTTTTCAAACCAGTTTGGTTCTTGGGTTTGAGCACTGGTTTTATTCTGCCCTTGGAGGAACCTGGCTGAGCTGCATCTCCCCAGAAAGGTGCCAGGCAGAGCTGTGGGTCCTATGCAGTCCTTGACGGGTGCTGAGCACCCCAGCATCCCATTCTGCCTTACTCAGTGAGTGTGTGAAATCGTCCCTGGCTGAGACACAGGAGAAGAGGTGCAGGAGAGCTGGGCAGAGGTGACACTGGGTGTTTTCCTCTCGTGCCTTTGCACACCTGTGCCAAGGTCCTGGCTCTGGGTGCTCGGTGGGTGTAGGTTTCAGCGTGCCGCAGTAGATAAGGAGCTTCCCCATCCCTTGACAGCAAAGAAAAGATTAAACAGTAAAAGGATTTCGGGGAAGGGATTGGAGTAATAGTGATTAAGTCATGGATCAGGATTTGTGATTAAGAAACCCTGATGGCAGCGTGGCGAGCCTGGCATAAAGGGTTCTTGCCCTGGGAGCATCTGCCCCATGGTGGGTCCTGGCCAGCGTCCGGCCCTCGGGACCTCGCTGGGGTTTGCCAAGACCCCCGGAGCTGCCCCTGCCCTGGGTGGGAGCAGGCACTGGGAGAGGAAACACGCAGCTGGAGGTGCTGGTGGGTCTGTGGTGCAGACAGGGCCCCTGGGCTGGGGCTCACCCTCAGCGTGCAGTTTGTGTGCGCTCTCTCCAGTGTGTTCATGGGCTTCAGATTTTACAGAAAACAATCAAAGATGGGGTTACGCAGCCATTGGGGCAGGTGGGGAAGCTGAGCTGTGGGTCTGTGGGTCCCCTGTAAAATCTGACCCTGGAGCAGCTGTGAGGAGGGGAGAATCACCCCTCTGGAAGGGGGTACACGATGGATGGGGGTTTAATCGACTCTTTTTATCTTTCCAGAGCCAAGTGTCCATGGTGAGCAGTGGATAGGGGAAGCCCACTGGGATAGATCGCCTGGGAAGCACCCCAAAGATGAGGCTCAACCGGAGATCAGAGCCCCTAAAGGCAGCTCGGATCCTAAAGGGGAAACAGACCCTGAAGACTCGTCCCTGACGCAGCTGCCAGCCGAGACCCAGGCTCCTGCTGTGCCAGGGAGTGGGGCTGGCGCTGGCTGTGCCACCGTGCCCGCTGCGGAGCCGGCCCCGGTGC